TTATCAGTATCATATAAATACCGCTCAAGCGACCAGAATATTTTCCTGGTATGAATTATTACACAGGGATTTAACATCGTGGAAGCCCTTGAGTGGATTTTAATGTCAGTCTGCGGGCAACTTTGTTTCTGACTGCTACCTTGTAAAACAAACGGCGACGTGTAAGTTTTGTATCAGATACCTGCTTCGCAAAGAAACGGGTTGTTTCTTTCCAATTGGAAAATGTTATTGTTGGTTGATTATTGTGAAAATTATCATGCGATGAATAGACTTTCAAATTAAATAACGTTTGTTCCGTCTGTTCATTGTTTTGATTGTCCATGATCCGTCGTTTAATAGTGTGAGCTCGTCACAGGACATTTGTTCGAGGATTCACGTTATTTGTTTCCGTATTGTTAACAGGTGTTTGAGTTTCAGTGTATACATGTACACTAAAGAGAGGGCTTGGGATAACACCATGTGGATAGATCTCTTGTCCTATCTACAGTGTTTCCGCGTCAACCATAAACACTTGTTGGATTTGTGAACTTGTAACAATTAGCAGAGTCCATCGAGAAGCAGTTTAGAGACATGTCATATTAAACCATGGAGGTAGGAAAATGGAAGACTCAGAAGGGGATTTTAAATATTTTTTCAAGGCGCCTTTACTGACGTGGATAGACTACTAACGAGGAAATGCTATTCATTTTGTGTCCAGTTTCTGGTTTTTTTTTCATCCATGTGTCTGTTTCACTTTCCACAGAACATCCGTTTCTTTCTGGAAAATGTATTCGAGAATTTGACAGAGGGTGCTGTTATATCCGTTACCTTTCTACCTTGTTTCCTTGTTTGGTTAGTGGTAGAAAATTTCACCATGACACTGTTGGACTACGTGATCTTGCACAATATTCAGCCGATAGTTAACATTCAACCATGCTAACAATTTTTGGTCTTCACAAGCAGGAAGCACGATCTGTTTTTTTAACCGATCATTGTAATGTGTGTCACTTAAACTCTTCTCGAGTATCGGATAGCGAGGTTGAGTTGTCAATATAACACTACCAAGGGAAGTACTTCAACCAAGATGAAGGCTATTGTGTTCAAAAGAACTGATATTGATTGCCTCAATATAAACTGCTCACCTAAACTTGTTTCCAGTCTGTGGTTTACGTTCTCACGTCATCGCTAATTGATTGAGGCAGGAATCATAATTATGTACGTTTTTTGTGTGGTGTCTTTACCCAGGTGTGCGATACACCCCACGTAACTCCGTTCCTGACCATCCTGCAGCATTTGCTACGGATCGAGCCCCGCGATACCATCAGCGACACCGTGTGGGACGCCGCCGAGAAGCTGGTCCACAAGGCCGTGCTCCTGGAGAACAAAGCCCAACGGGAACGGCTGCTGAAACTGGGCGATCGAGACCTAGCCAAGGCCGTGGCCTCATACAAGGACAAGTTTAAGAGTGGCGCCTCATCAGCCGAGCCGAGTGAGGCACGGAATGAACAGGGGACTCCATCCGATCAACCAGCTGGAGGTGCCAGGGATAACATGCCCCCGTTGGAAAACCGGAAGAGGACAACTGGAGAGAATGAGAGAATGTCTGGGAGTACAGCAGAGGAAAGTGCAATAAGCTCATCGGGCACAATGGGAATAAATAAGGAGACCCAACCTCCTGAATGCAGAATCGAAGGAGGCGATGAGGACTCTGAGATTATGAAAACCTCACATAGTGTGCCATCACCTGGACCCTCAATGCCACCTGTGCCTCCACCACCTCCCCCAGGGGCTGCTCCACCCCCACCCCCACCACCAGGGGGAGGTCCCCCACCCCCACCGCCACCCCCGGGTGGGATGCCACCTCCCCCACCTCTGCCTGGAGGGGTGCTTCAGAGGGCCACGCCCCATGCTCAGACAATCCCGAGTTCGACAGCCATTCCCACGGTGAAACCCAAGATGAAAATGAAAACATTGAACTGGAGTAAACTACCACCGCACAAAGTGATGAGCGGTAACAGCATATGGGCGAAAGTTCATATGGTAAGTCTCCAAAGAAATTATATTTGTGATAAATGCAACTATATGCGCGAACATTGTACATACATGACAGTCCCCATGGATCAGATTCGCAAAGCATTCCACACTATTTCATTATTTTCTTTGAACTTAACACATTCACACAAAACGTATATTGTAAGCTTCATTACATGTACTTATTTACAGCATCAATTTATTACAGTAATTAAATGTAGAAAACAGACATAGAGCAAAATCACAAAGGAACATAGCTTTTACATATATTATAGGAAGCCTACTCGTATATAGGCCTACATCCTAGTTGAATGTGACATGCACTTAAGAAAAGCTTGGGTTTTTTCTTCATCGTATTGCACTGAACTTCCATATGATTTCATACTCAAAACAAAGCAACAGCATGTTATGCGCACTGAGGCTGCAGTTTTACATTACACATAACCCCGCCTAACCTTCCATGTATCTAGTTACACACTGGGACATTTGGAAATCCGAGTTCCGGAAGGCCACGAACACATGCCGGAAAACGCGCAAAACAATTCCAAATACTGTAACTGATGGGGCGACTTTTCATGTACATCTTTTATCTACAGTACATGTTCATGAGTGTGTAGTACAAGTTCACGGAGAAAAATCTTCCCACACGTTTTCTTTTCCCCAGGAATTTCATTTTCATTTCACCGTCGTGAAAAACTTCCCCAAGGTGGGAAAGTTATTGTCACAGATTTTCCCACAAGTAGGAAAAGATTTTCGAAGATTTTTACGGGGGGGGGGGAGACAAAGTGTGCAAAGACTTTCACAGAATTTCCCAGCAGTGGGAAATGATTTTCACAGATTTTACCACAGTGGGAAATCATTTTCCCGCCCTGTGAAATGTGAGTAAGTGGATTCTCATTATAAAATTTCCCATCCTACTTCACAATGTTGACTTGCAATGTACTGGTACTTCAGAAAATGCTCAGTTCTGACTGCTGCAAAATACCTTTCTTTGTATAAGTGCAGGGATTTTTTGTGAGAAATACCCCCCCCCCGATAATATCCAATAACATATCTACTCAAAAGGAAAACCAGACGAATTCGTCCACGCTCGTCAACGTCGTCATTCATTCAGCAACGGTACCCTTGACCTAGCCAAAACTGTGATCGAGGCTGAAACACGGGGACAATCCCGTGCAGACTGCAGTGTATTCTGTTACCTGGCATGCCCACGTAAAAGGGATGGTATTTGTGGGCCAGGGCCACAATGCAAGAAATTGTTGGGTTAAATGCAAAACGTTGAGTCATCCAACAAAGTGGATGTTGACCTCCATTGTTCAACTCCAAAGAATTACTAAGTGAAAGGAATTCGGTGGGAGAATTGAACTCGGGCCTGTATAAATAATATTGGCGGTCGGATAAGTGGACATTGTGTGTCTTTTCAATGTTCAAACCACGAATTACATTCAGTGTTGGTTTTATGGATCTGTTTTCCTTCCTCCATGATTTTAACCCTCTCCACCCTCCACCCCCGCTGGCGATGGAGCTACCCGCCCCTTTCATGCGTAGGGAGGCTAATATTAAATAAGCCGTTTTATGGAAACGGTTTTTCTCACTGCTGAATCTGTGATGTTCATTTCACATGCCCTTTCAAGTTGGTAGTTAGATATTATACCAGAACATTTGCTGTGTATGAGCCAATTCCATGCCCAACCCAGCAATTCGTTGAATAATAAACTTCTGTCCACATAGTTAACTCTTCACCATGGTCATAGGTGGGATGATCCCCACAAACAGAACAAGCACGCGTGTTCGACAAGGTAGAGCAGAATGGCGCAAAGAGAAGAACTTCCCAGGTGGTGTGTCAAACGCCAAATTTCCTGACTTAATTGCTGTGTGTGTCCATCTATGGAGGAACGAAAAGAAACCTACGAAATTCCGTTCACTGTCCAATATCCTTCTTTGTTTATGTACCTCAATACTCGTTACGGGCTTTGACTGTACGTGGATTTATCGGTTCCAACAGGGTTATTGGACAATTACATAAACTTTACTCACAAGCTCGAATTTAAGCCTCTACGGGCTAAAACAAACACAAGACTGCACCCACTAGGAGCCTGTGACCGCTACAAAGCGGGCCGCTGAACGCTACCCCAGAACAACTAGACCCGACCTCTGTATTTTAAATCCCCAAATGCAAACACACGGCAATTTTCAAGCATGTGTAATAACAGTTTACAGGTTTACAACCACGTACGGGGAATTTTAGTCGTTTTGTTTGCGGCCAAAGTTTGTGTGGGTTTGGGTTTTTCCGAGTCATCACGATGTAGTTTGGGGGTGGATTACCTGCCGTCTTTTGTCCTTAATGGCCGGTTAAACTCTTGACCAATGGCCAAGTGGCAGTTAAAAGCAACTTGAATTTAAATGGGGGGGGTATAAAGGGGATCGGAAGTCAGTTCGTTTATTGAAGAAAATATCTTGATAGATCAAACAACCATGAAGGGCTGGAAAAATTAATTGACGAGATATTTTGTCGTGCAGAAGACCAGAAAAGTGCAATTGAAACAGTTTTGGGAGGAAAATCATCACATATCTGTGTCACTTTCTGAATGACGAAAAAAAGTCATGCAGTTGATTGTGAAACATTTATGAGCAAAGTACATGCACAAGAAGTGTACGAAATGTCTGGGCTGGTAGAGTTTCGGTGGCAGATTCAGCTGGGAATAGGAATAATGAGTAACTGATATCGTTATTCAATCTAACTAAATCTTTGTCTCATTGTTTGAATTATTTGGGCTCTTACTTGAAGAGGAAACAATCACTGCTGATCCAGTCTAGTTTTCACTCAGTTGATGATGTCAATGATATTCGATGCTGTTTCTCGGTGTTAAATTCTTCGTTTGAGTATAACCTCCTGTGCAGGAACAGTTCCGCTGCGTAAACAAAACAAGTGCACGATTTGAGCCAGTCATCAGAGGACCCACACTTTTTATTACAATGTATACACTGTGACCTCGAACGAAAGCATTGGTTTGCCAAAACAGGAAGCATTAAAAAATGAAATCCTTCCAACCAACAAATACACTATAAAAAAACAGAGAAGACCAATTCACCTTTTTTTTTCTGACGAGGTAAATTACTATAAGTTAAACTTTATTAGATTGTTGAAGTTGGAGTTCAGACAAAAAGATCCTGGACAGATGCTCGATTATGTGTATGTATAATTTAGCTATGTTTATATACCTTTTCGTACTTCAGATCCAGAATGGTTTCAGTGCCGACTGGGAGACAATGGAGGAATTGTTCTGTCAGCAGAATGTGGCCAAAAAGACCCAGATTGACGGCAATGAGGACAAATCCCAGAAGAAAAAGAAAGAATCGGTGGAAATGGTGAGCAACATTTAAAAATAAATTGTGTCAAGCATGCGGCACTGTTCATTAAATTGTCAACTTCTTATGAATGCACCACCTAAATTTTAAATCTAGTATTGTTAAGACACAGTTATTCGGGGCGCATCTGAAATTATCTTTGATTTGTATTCAAATTTAGCTCTTTGATTTTTTTCAAACACGATTAAATCATTTTTAAAGTTAAAGTGTGAAAGTTTTTCCAAAACTTATTTTGGAAATTTTATTCTGTAGAGTCCACAAAGAAACCTGCCTATACAGAAAAGGCATCCAATGTGTGCTTTATTTATGATTTTTTCTTTTAGATAAATCTTCTTGATAGCAGGCGAAGTCTTAATGTCAACATCTTCCTGAAACAGTTCAAGAGGTATTTTGAACTTGAAGTCTTCATTTTGCTTTTTCCAATTCAATTGCAACAGAGATATTTTGAAATTTTTTAAAACTTATGACTAAAGTGACCAGATCTTTATTGCAAAACAAGGTGCAAAACACAGTGTAAAATTGGACACAGTGTTGCACAGTAAACCCACCAGCAAAATCCAAGACAATTTCCAGAAAATTCGAGAGAAACTAGCTAATACTAGCTAATCGAATGTTTCCTGAATCGGCAGATTTTTTGTATAAATGCGAGTTTTTTAATTACGTTTTTTGCCCGTATGAAAAAGACTTTTCGGGATTCCGTTATCTGATCTGTGCAAACTTTGTCTTGGTTATATTTTTTCAGCACCAATGAAGTCATTGTGCGGCTTATTCAACAAGGCAAAAGCGAGGCCATTGGGGCTGAAAAACTGAAGAGTCTCATCAAAGTCCTTCCGGAATCTGAAGAGGTGATATTTCAGTTGTCACCATTAACAACTCTGTAAAAAAATAGCATAGAAAGGGAACAAACCATATATGAAAATATATGACTGTCTGTTTAATAAAGCTTTTCGTAAAGTATTGCATGGTAATGTCATCAACATGTTTAACAAAAATGGGCTCTTTGGCTTTTAATTAAGCACTTACGATTGGTACCATATAAGATAAAAATGTTTTCCTCCCAGTGAATTGTGTGAGGAGAACTGCTTGAAGTCTGCTTTGAATGAAATTTGACTTTAGAACTCTATCTTCTTATTCGGACAAGGTTGAAATGCTAAACTCCTTTGATGGCAACAGGTCTAGGCTAGCACCAGCAGAGCAATTCTATCTGATGCTCATGAACATTCCATTGTAAGTAGTCCAATTCTACACTGCATCTGCTTCATTATGATGTTGTCAGATGGAGAAGGCCTTGAAAAGATTCACCGATGATGATGTTTTTTGCCTATTCCCATTTACAACAAAGCAAGCATAAGATGGACACGCTTGTGTATTTCAATGAATGAACTTAAAAATAAACAATCTCGAAATTAGCAGAGGCATACACTCTTCCTGTGATAAGTTGACTTCTAACCTGACTTCTGCCATTAACGACTTGAAACAAGAAAGTCATAGAATTGCTTCTCTTGCATTCTTGCCCATTTGCAGTTACAAGTTGCGGGTGGAAAGTATGCTGTTGAAGGAGGAATTTGCTTCCAACATGGACTACCTAATCCCTTCCATTGGTTGCATCATCGAGGCTTGTCAAGGTACTTTGACCCCTGAAGAAACTGACTTGACAAGGAAAACAACTACAAGCAGAACAACTGCAGATTGTAGTAAATGAAATTCTCTGACATTGGCATAGTCTTTTCTGTCCAACCGCACTGAGACACACAATTGAAATATGTAAGCTTGGTTTGCTTTCATAACATTGTGTGCATGTGGTGTTAGTCTGTGGCAATAAAAAGACATTTCTGAGATAAGTTATCACACTGCAAAGATAGGAGACTAGTAAAGCTGGCCCTGTTTTGTTCGGGTATCCACAATACATGAAGTTCGCATACAGTATACATGTACTTTGGTGAAATTCTTGCACGCTTAACTCGCACCCCCAGGAAAATGTGAAACAGTTGTTTCATTCTTTGAAATGTAACAGTCTGTTTCATTTTGATAGCTGCCAACAGTGCAGTAACTTATTCCTGAATACTGTGACTGGTGCGACATAACCACATTGCAAAGCTAGCTTCAGTTTGCATTATCAACATAGTATATTTAGACCATTTTCTGTTCTTAACATAAAGAGAGCGATTGGGCGGAGAGGAATAGTGAATCACTGAGTCATGGTGTTTTTTTCACAGTCCAGCAACCACCGAAATGAGGCCCTTGATGGGATTTTTGTTGACTGGGTGGTAGTTATAAATATCATTGGAATTGGGAGTATGTGACATTTGGGCTGAAATATATAGGCCTCGGCACAAAACACATTTTGGACAGATTTCTGTTGAATTTTTTTTAAAATCTTCCACTCTTGCTACTTTTTGGATCCGTTTTTATTTTGTTGCCAATAATTGGTAAACGGATTTACATGTTTATGGCTCTATACTCGTATGACAGCCGATAATGTCCAGTTATGAGTCTCAACAAAAGCACTTTAGTCATGAGCATCAACAATGAGCAGATTCACTCAAAAACCCACTGACTAACCAGTGCTTAGTTAATGACTCATCAGCTGTGCAAAAACCCACTGACTAACCAGTGCTTAGTTAATGACTCATCAGCTGTGCAAAAACCCACTGTGTGGGAGATGATATATACTGTCCATATTTTTTCAGTTTTGTTTTCACTAAGGGGGATAACTTGTTGAATATATTTGGTTGTTTGTTTTCCCTTCCAGAAATCCTTTCGTCATCTTCCCTGCGAGAGATTCTACATCTTGTACTTCTCACTGGAAATTTTCTCAATGCAGTAAGTTTGTGTAGTTGCATTCTTTGACACGATATTAAAACATCTGTAGTAATTCCAAGTAATGGTATACATTAGCGATTTCGATGGAACCATTTTCTATCAGTCCCATTTGTTAATTTTGGTTGCCACCCTGGACACATTTTGTACATAGATCACCAGAGAAAATCGACCTGCAGTTGTCAAAGGGGTCTCACTCAAACTTACCCTGTCATGTTCTTTAATTGACATTTTGGACATGCCTTATGGTTAAAAGTAACCATATTATAAAAGACTTGTTGATACTAAAAGGTTGGATGTCATGTCAGGTGAGAAAACGTTTGAATCGAGCAGATCCTCTAAAAGTACTTAATGGGTAACCTGGTTGTTTTGCAGGGTGGCTATGCTGGGAATGCCATCGGCTTTAAAATCTCCTCACTGCTGAAATTAGTGGAGACAAGAGCCAACAAACCGCGGATGAATCTCATGCACTACGTAGCCTCAGTAAGTTTATATTCTGCTTTGCCATATTTTGTTCCAGCTATAGAGGTAGAATGGCTAGTTTCCCCTCCGTGAATCACAGTGACCAAACGGTGACCTGTTGATTTGAAACATTAAACAGCTGTTGGCTTCTGTTTCTGAACATAGCACATATATACATTTAGGGGACACAAAATAAAACATCATTAAATAGGTAAAAGGAAAAATGTGTGTCTTTCAGAAATTGCTTTGGTACGTGTATTTCATTCTAAACGACTTCAAAACATGTCAAAGTTGTGTTTAACTCAGCAGTGCATAATTTTAAATTGATTGTACTGTAAAGTTAATGAACATTATGCAAAATGCACAAGGTGGCATTTGAGTGACACAATGTCACATTTGTTTTTGCAAACTTTACACATGGCAATGTAACAACAGTATCCATGACACAACAGAACAAGGAGTGGGTAAATTGTCTCCCCTCAACACTGTAAACACTTACCATTTTCATTACTTTTCCTTCAAACGTGAAGTAGTTTTAACAATTGGCATGTTTTTCTGGTGACTAGAGGGTTTAATTTTTTTAATTCACAGCAAGCTGAGCATAAGAATTTACTGAACTTCCCAGAGGAGTTGACGCATTTGGAGGAGGCTTCAAGGTGTGTGCCAAAGTCAAACATTATCACACAAGACAATTTCTTCGAAGCTATGTACTATATTTAACAGCCCTTAACTGTAGATGAAATCTTTCTTGCAAACATCGAATTTTTTATTGGTTTAAATAACAGGAATATGATTTTGGATATAGATGTTTAATGCTGGGATAAATTTTCATTTGACTTTTTCAGTGTGACTTTCCAGTAACCCGTATTATAATGATTTTCCTTTTGTGAGATTTTATGTTAATATTCCAACCTCGTAGTTTGGTATCCTAAAACTTTCATTGCTGGCAGTAGCCAAACTTAAGTACTCTGCCTGCTGCAATTGCCTGTCTCATCTTCATCTTAGTGTCTTGTTGTGGGTCTAATAAACTATCTATACTACCTTCTTCTTGTTATCTACCATCCTTGTGGTTGTTCTCTTAAAGGTTCTCAGTGGACCAACTTTTAACAGACATCAAAGTTCTAGAAGAAAAAGTCAACGTCACCGCTGCACAGATCGGGGAAGCAGATGAAACTATCTCAGCATTCAAGACACAAGTTGAGGCCTTCCTGAAGGTGAGATGGCATACAGTTTGTAGAGTATACAGAAGTGTAAGCAACTAGAAGGAAGTATTTGCACATGTCAAACCGAAATTATAAGATAGCCTGACAGTTTTGGACAAAACTTGTCATTCAAAGGGAGTTGAGAAGGTAATCTTCCCACTGAGGTGTCTCTCCTTGATCTTTTTTTTTAAAGGAGAACTCTCCTTTTACCCGTATTTCTAGTATCTTTCCCTTCATTTGACTTGAATGCCATGTGATCTTGCTTGCTACCGTTTTCTTAGAGAAGTTACACCTGCCTTTTTTAGAAAGAGTTAACTGGTTTCAATTATGGTGTGCTTAACAAAAACGTTGGCCATCATGCTCTTATTTTCTCCCTAAGGTGTTTTATTTGAATGTCTTCTTCTTCTGTATGTGTCTTGTAGACGGCCGAAGATGATATCACGGAGGTGCGGCAGATGCTGGCCTTTGTTGAAAAGAAGAGAATCGAAATTGCAGAGTATTTCTGCGAGGATACCAACACCTTCAAACTGGAGGAGTGCATCATCACCTTCAAGATTTTCTGTGAGAAGTTCAAGAAAGCTGTAGCAGTAAGTAGCTTGACAGGATTCTAGACATATGAATTGCAGGTTTTCTCTTCTACAAAAACTGTCAGATTTTTGTGATTGCTTGGGTTATGAGTGTTGATTAGCCGTATGCCATGCAGCTTTTAACAATGACATTATAACTAACTTAGTGTTATCGCCAATTGTTTGAATTAGTATTTATATTGAGCGTAATAATGCCCCATCAAAAAGCAGGGGTGTGAGAATTCAGCATTTCAGCTGATTTGAGCTTTTTTGTTTAGATGTTGACCCTGAATTTCAGCTGTTTTTACACCCGGTCTATACAAAAGTATGGGAACTTTTTACAATTCAGCTTTTTGCTAGCTGTTTTCAGCTTTAATTTTAAGTTGCCACTCACACCCCTGAAAAAGCTAGCTATATTGCATGCATTCTACTGCAAAGAATTGTCCGAGGTAACATTTAGAGATCTCATATACCTTGTCCTGATAACTGACTCTTCAACTGCTTATAATTGTGGGCCGATGGAATGGTTTGCATTTGGAAGGACTTCGACAAAGTTAAGATAACTTACTGCATGTACTCTATCAGCAGCAATGCATTCTTTGAGGCACTTAAGGATCTTGATGTTGTTGAGAAGTTTGTATGGTAAAAAATTATTTTTGTCTCTATTCCTTTCAGGAAAATGAAACGCGGCGAATGCAGGAAATTAAGATGGAACAGAGAAGACAACGTAGTGAAGATCAAAAATCCCAGCGCCGGAAGGATGGCAAGGCAAAGACTCCACGAAGCCAAAGCCTACCTGGTGGGAAAGAAACCAGTTCCATTGTGGATAAGTTACTGGGGAGAATCAAGGGCGGTTTCTCCCATCCAAAGACCAAGCCTGACGTGGACAGCAGTCAGCCCCAGTCCCCATGTCCCGAAGACGATCAACCGGCAGTGATCACCAGGAGCACCCCAATTAGAAGATCTAAGCAGAAATTTGAACAGAACCTGAATGCCATTTCAGAGAATGCTGCTGAGTCAATCAACCAGACATCTGATGGGACGCTCCATGCTGACAACAGGCAAAGCACATTTGGAGAGGATGCACCTGATAACCCTGTGATTGTGAGACGTCAGAGATCACAAGCAGCAGGTCCTCGTCCCCTGTCTGCGGACGATGACTCTCTGTTCGACATGCTAGTCCAGGGTAATGATGATGATGCTCTGGCACAATTTGAGAACTTCAAAAAAGACGGCAGTTTGCGACGGAGTGGAAGGCGAACAAAGAAAAACAACCTGGATTTTATAGCCAGCGACTCGCGTGAGCGACAGGACTCACCCAGCCAATCACCAACGCTGGCTAGACGAAACAAGCTGAATGTTGAACAGACAGAAATTGCCGAGTCATACAAGCCGAGCACTCCATCTCACTCCCTTAGTAAAGAAAAAGAGCGGATTCGAGAACTCATGCGAGGAGATGATGCCAGAAATCCAACAGAACCTTTTAAATTAAACCGCCGAACCCGTAGTGAAATATCAACATCAGACATTGACCATGTACTTCAGAGCACTCCTGTCAAACAGAGTTCTGACAGTGCAAGTGCAGAAATTAGGAAGGACCGTATTGCTAAATACAGCAACGTTGTGGATTCAGCCTCAGCTGAGCACCAGGCCAGTCCAATAGCTGAGAGCTCTACAGCACCATCTGAACAAATTTCAACATTACAACGCGAAATGCCCAAGCCGAGAGCTGTGACAAGCTCCAGAGTATCGACAGAGGGTGCCCCACCACGCAGACGACCTCTCCGCCGAAGCCAAAGTGAGTTCAGTGTCGAGGATGTGAGGAAAGCGGCACAAGGGTTGAGGGAAGCTGCTGCACGTGAAAGCGAGAATGGGTCTCCCACAACCACCTTGTCGCAGGATGAAACTGATGGAGGCAGTTCGGTCGAAGAAAAGACACCCACTTGGCAAAGCAAAGTCCAGGCAGTGGATGTCGAAGCAGCTCTTGATACTGTTGAGTCACAGTTGTCATCCCGGGAGAAGAATCGTTCCAGGGATGATGACACATCTGATGTAGACAGGATGCAAAAGCAGCGATATTCCAGGTGGAGAACAGGTAGCTTTAAGTGGGACACTCCTAAAAACAAAGAGGAGCGAACAGATAAAAGACGAGCTTCCAGTCTTTATGAAGATCACGAAAGCACTGTTTTCTTGGATAGACCCATTGAAGCAGGGTTAGCCAAAGGGTTGGAATCTTATGCCGAGTCTTATAGCCTGAAAATCCGCCAGGAGCGCCGGACGATTGAAAAAATAATGGCTGGTGTCGAGGACAGCGATGATGACCCAAGCTCTCCAAGGAAAATATCATCAGACTTGTCAAGGATGAAAGGTTTAGAAGCCCTTCGAGCAAAATTCAGGCAGAAACAGGCATTGGCTGAAGCGTTCAATGAAGAGGAAACTTGGGCTTCGATCGATCGAAAACAAGTCGAAATTCGGCGAGACCTGCTTGACATCAGAACCTCAACAGAAGTCCAAGATGATCTGGAGGTTGAGGACATTGAAACAGCGAGCAGTCAAGAAGTAGCATCCCAAGAGACTAAAGTGACGGTATCTTCGGTGGAAACCCATGCCACTGAGACAGTGTACAAAATAACAGATGATGACGTTTACGTTCTTAAAGACAAGCCTCCGGCACGTACCGCATCTGAGGCACTCGCCGAGAAAAAATCAAGATATCCTGGGACAGCCAAGAACATTAATGGGGATTCAATCCAAACGAAAAGTGATGAGAATGCCAATGAAATTCCATCCTCAACATCTTCCACATCCCCTAAAAAACCCTCAGCCAAAAGTGGTAGTGTTAAAAAAGCTACTCCACTGACTCGCCCCACTGCTATGACAAATACGGGCAAGATAACCCCGAGACTGACAAACACAGCATCAAGGGTGTCACCGGGGAAAAACACATCAGTGAGAGCTCATGTCAGTGAGTCGTTGCCAAGATCGAGTCCTCGAGTAAGGAAAAACTCTCGTAATCTACCAGTAAAGTCACCATTAGCTCAGTCATCCTCAGCATCCAAAAGTTTGCAAAGAGGTAGAAGTGCTGAGTCCCTCCCAATGTCAGAAACTTCAGAGACCCGACACAGGCGCGAGTCTTCTCACAGCAACTCTTCCTCAGTGTCAACTGCGAGCAACTCATCCCTAAGATCCTCAGGGTATGGCAGAAACCTGCACTCACCAAGAGGTACCAAATCATTGACGACACGCGTCAGCAGATCGAATTCCACAACGTCGTCATGCAGTACGGACTCTCGACAAGAGCGTAAACCTCGGTCCTCCAGTGTGAGGTCCACCAACTCAACCAGTAGCGTCAAAAGCACTGGTTCCAGGACGACACCATCGACGACTAAACCTGTGAATTGTGGCAGCTCTTCAGCGAGATCAACTGTTACAAGGGCTGGGCCCTTTGTCCGTTCAGCACCTGAGCGGCGCACACTCCCGTTTGCAAACAAAAACCCTTCTAATAGGCCTACTGAAATGAGATCATCAGGTCGTTTATCACCTAGCAAAGCAGTAACTGGAATTGACTCCAAACCAAACATGGGCAGTAAAACAGTAACAGACAATAAAAGACCAACTTCCAGCACTCCTTCACCTAAGCCTGCTGGCCGTTCAAAACTAAACACATCCGCCTCGTCAGTTACACCAAGGGGATCCTCTGTTAAAAAATCAAATAGCTTCCAATCACAGTCGGCGACAAGAAAACCCGTCAGTTCGCCGTCTAAAACTCTTCCATCTGCCAGCAGCAGAGTGGGAGCCCAGTCACCAAGATCGGCACAGGCGGCATCAGTGACAAAAAGCCCATTGAAAATGGGCAGTGCCACATTTGGCCTGAGTGAGCTGGAACCAGCCTCCTCAACCACAGCACCGAGTGGGATGCAAGGCTCAAAGTTACATTCCAGCATCTCTGCGACTCAGGCATCATTGGATACTTCTGAGAATACCGTGCAAGCAGTGGATGCCACCGTGGTTTCAGTAAGTTTAGATGAACAAGCCAACGACAGAGGCAGTGAGGCTCAAAGCGTGAGCTTTTTCTCCTTAGGGGAAGTGTCCCAAGATGGCACATCGGCCCAGGAGGAGAACAGCTCAGCAAGCAACGAGAACAGACACGTGCCCCGCATGTCATCCTTGTATTCCCATCTCAAACCAGTCCCTGCATCAGTCTCAGAAGACTCAGCGGATGAGTCAGACTCTAGTAGCAGGTTGAGTCGTGGAAAATCTACGGCCTCCCTCCCACCGGAAATCCGAAAGCGTGGACCAGTAGACAGTGACCATGTCAAGAAATCAAGTAAAGGAAAACTGAGTCAGGTAATTCACAAACTTAGACGGAAGGGGGAGAAGGGCGGGGACTCGTCACATGACGCTGGAACAGACGGCAACACTCCATCTCTCAGTGAAGTGCCAAGTTCCTCAGCAAAAGTGAAAAGGACAGCCTCCTTGGGGAGGAAAGCCTCCCAGCCTAAAGCGCCCTCTACCAAAGGGAGAAATGGCAGCAGTACAAGTAAGAAACCAGTTTTCAGATAGAACATGAAAGTGAATGTTGTGGTGATGATAAGTCTGAAATCATTTCAGAGTTTCTGTCAGCAACTGTGTTCAAGAGAGATGGCCTACTTGTAGAAGATAGATAGATACGCATTTTTGTCGTAAGATGTCTACTTTTTAAGGGGGGGTAATTACTTGAAAAACTCTGAAGGAAGTATTAACCTCCAGGTCCTTTGTTTCTCGAATTTCACTTTCTCGAGCAGTTCTGTGAGGGTGATTTTTCCCACGCCCTGAGTTTCTGTTTTAAATCCATCTTCAAATCCAAGTGTAATTTGGGATAGAATATTTTTGAACGTGCAGTGCTGGTGGAGACAAAAAGGAAATCACCATTTAGCATTTCTGCAGTCTTTACGTGACACAGTGTGTAGAACTTTCTCCGTTGAATTCTAATCACCAAGGATTGAGTTTACAGGTTTGTTGGAATCTTCTGTCGTCAACTTCTGACTGAGAGAGCTTCCGCCAGAAGCACTAGAAGAGTTTATGAATAGGGAAATACTATAAATATTACCTCAATAAGCAGAATGGGCGTGTTAAAGCAATAAAGAGTATGGTTTGGGGCGACAGAGTGAACGGTGAACTTACTTCATTTTAGTTGCTCCTGAAATTCAGATTTTTTTATTTCTTCAACAAGTACTTTTTTTGCATCTTTCATATTAAAAGACTCACTGAACTTGGTTGAGACGCGCTAAACTGCAGATTTGTCTGTCTTTGAATGCATAATGGATGTTTGCCAGCACGCTCAGATCACTAACAACGTGAAGTTATTTGTGTTTGCCAGACCAGAAAACTTACAGTGCCTTCTGTCCTTGAAAATATAAAAGTGGAGGAACATGTCTCGGCAGAACTTGAACATTAAGTGAGGACATCAGACTCCGGTTTCTTTAAACGAGATTTTCGAATTCATTGCATTATAATTTGCGCCATTGCTTGTACACGCATGTTTTCTTTGACTGTCTAAAATACACTGTAAAATACAGTGTCTGTAAAATACAACTATGTTTCAGCTATTATTTAAGGTAATATTACTTATCTGCAAAAATTTTGTAGTATTCGTTAGTTTTGTAGCCTGTTAGCATGAAAATGCACGCAGTCCAGATATTTTCTATACAAAAACGTTCGATCTAAATTATACACCGTAAAACGGTGTCTATGATAAAAAGAGTTGTAGTGATTTGTTTCGGTTGTATAAAGTTTTACTTCAAGCGTCAAAGAACCAAATTACTTCGGTTTGAATAAGTCAGTAATTTCACCGACTGAATGCTGCCTGGAATTTGTATTGATTTCTGTACTTCTCCTTTTGTGGATAACATTGTTCGTGTATATGCATGGATACAGTCAACATCTCATGTGCGATATTATTTTTGTGAAACGGCTTTTCACATCAAGACCATTATCTCTTGTTTTAATGTGAAAGCTGACCTCCATTTTTTCCTTTAGGACTCTTGAGGAGAAAAAAAAATTGCTTGTCAAATCGAATAACTTACATACACCGAACCGAACCGAACCATGAACCGGTCATAATGGATCCCACACATGTGGGCTGATATTCTAGTTTTGCATAACCAAAATATATGAAATTGACATCTCGTTTGTCAAAATGTAGAGAAAGTTGCCATTGTAATTACAGTGCAGTTAGTGCGGCTTGTGTATGCTGAGCCCCTTCACAAACAGTTCGATTCATAAAGCTTAAGTTGTACAGATGCTTCAGAGACAGAGGATGCTTTGTATTAAAAATTCATCAATGCATTATCTTGCTATGCTTTCTTAAAGTTTTGAAACTGTTATCATTTTGATGTACTTAAATTGTCTGCAATTTGATGACGTGAAAAGCAATAATACAAGTCTGGTATCTTCTAGCAGGCTATGGGGAACTCTTTTTTAAATATTTTTTTAAAGATTTTCTTGAAGTGACTCTTTTTAATGCCACGAAAGTCTTGAATAATATATTGAGCACAAAATACAATGCCATCAAACTATTGTGAAGGGTTACGGGTTGTAACAAATTAAGTAAAATAGCCATTGGCCATTACATATTATGAATTATAATTTTTTGTAAAAAGCCATGATAGTTGACGAAACATATATTTATCCTTCATACAGCCTTTTATCGTTGGTTTAATCGTATTTATTTCACGCTTTTGCTCAATATGAAAGTGAACGTAGAATTTAGATGTTTGATAGATTTCTTTGACATTTAGATGGTTGAGTTGCGAATTATTCTTGACGAATGGTACTTTGAATGTATCATAACAGAGCAAAATCTTTAGTTGTACGATAACCAGAATGAAACGGGGTTCTAATGTATGGTATGAAATCTCTTCATACATAGTGCTGTAAAACTAGTGACTTTTGGCATGAACAGTGCTCCTAATACAACGTACTTTCGAGTTGTAGAAGTTGACAGTTTCAATTTCAATTGTAAACGGAGCTAAACAAGAAATTAAAGCACTTACACGTGCATTAAAGCGTCTGTTCTTGTTAACCCAACACTGCAGAGGTAGAATATCAACACACTCCTTTCAGTGCATAGAAACATTCCGAGACTGTCTTGTGTGAATGATGTTGCCTAACTTAAAGCACACTGCGTTCAATTACTTCCCCGCAATTACCCGTGGTGTCGTCGCAGGATTCGACGGGCTTGCACAGTCTGTGGTAACAAACAATTGCGGGTTATCCAAGGTGCCCCAACTCCCTGATATCTATACACTGGATAGGCTGCTCAGCAGTACATGTCACTGCCTATGTGTGAATTGAAGTGACCGTGCGGCCATCTTAGGATATTCAGTGCAATGGCCTCCAACTTCAGTCCATTCACTAAAGTGCATTCATGCACGGCGCTAAATCTGGTGACTTGGAAAATGCCATTGTATTGAATAACCGAAGATGGCCGCGCAGTCGCTTCAAATTCGCAGAGCAGAGCTGCTTATCCAGTGTAGAGAGCAGTGGCCACAACTGGACCAAAGAGGTGACGCAACGCATGCAAAATGAATTCAAAACGTCGGAAGCAATGACATCCAAACACACATTCCAGACTTTCCATCACGTAACTTATACTTAATTTCAACCGAGCTGTCACTCGGTTGTTAATCGTTTACAAAGGTGTCACTTTTCCCTCGCAACGGTGCCAATTTTGCCTTGGCATCATTCGACTAAGCCGCCATGTGTTCGCATTGTATTGTGGGATACTTCTCAAATAGCCGGGTTTAATACTTGGGCCAGGGGGGCTGAGTCACGAGAAGACGTGAGTGCCGAAATCGAACGCAGTCAACCTTGAATGGTAAGCGCGGGGAAATCGAAGGCACTGTTAATTCCTGTGCAACAGTTTCCTGACGTTGAACAACGTTCGTGGCGTCCTGGATGAAAAATGTACAGCCACGATTTATTGAAGTTTGGACGACTTGCCAACACTGATGTTTTAAATCTTGTCCCAACTTGCAGAATTTGTATTTTGTAAAGCACATGTACATGTACTATACATAGTTTTTTAAAAACATTTTGTAATCACCGTTCAGTGAGTCCTATTCAGCTGCCTATTAAGGGAATAACATGGTTTTATCTTTAAGTAACATTGCTTTGATTTTATGGAGATTCTATGTAGCGGCTGCCTCCAGTGTTATGGAAATGACTTGATATATTTATGCAAATTAAATGTAATGTGTATTGTATCCCTCAAGGTTAGTGCATGAAGTACATGTAAATTAAACCCACGCAGTTGAATGTGTTTTACATCAAGTCTCTTCTCTGAGATCACTTCAGTTGGTTTTACCTCCAAACTGGTGTGATAAGTTTTACTGGAAAACAATATGGAAAGATGAGGGAATGCTTGTTGTAAGCCGGCCCACTTGAACTACCATACTGTTAATTAATAGAGTATGGGAGAACTTTGCAGTTTGGTATCAGTGTACGGGAGGGGGGGCAGCTTGGTATCAGTGTACGGGAGGGGGCAGCTTGGTATCAGTGTACGGGAGGGGGCAGCTTGGTATCAG